TTACATTAGCATTAACGCATTATTTTACTCTTTTTCTTCGTTTTATCCTGCTCCAATTCCGTTTGATCCGAATTTCTTCTTCCATCGATTATTCAAATAATTCAAAAAATCCTTTGTTCGTAAAAAGAGTGCCGGTGACAAAGACAGGGGATTGTTTCTTCGAACAATCGCTCAAGGCGTGTGTATCTTAAGCCAAAGAATCGGTGATCACACGTGGCTGGTTATCACCTTAAAATTTTCCTTCGCGTCTCGCATAATTTTTTCCTACTATAAAAAAACCACCTTCTCAGGCAGATCCCTTTTCAAACCTCTTTTTATCTTGGAATTTTTCTTCGCAACCGACGAAAGGAAAACGAAAGGGAAACTTGGTATCCTTAAAACAGAACGTTATTGCAGAGAGATTTAATCGTCAATTAATTGCGAAAGAAATATTTAAATCGAGGAATTCGAAAAGGAGATTGAACGAAATTCGAAATTCTCGAAGCAGTTGTCAAGAATTGTTAATGATATGAAGAAAGGAAAAATAAAGAAAAAAAAAGAAAATTTCTATTTTTTCAGAGAAGCGATTTTCAATTCGATGCATTCGAATATATTTTGGTATTATTTTCGAATTTATTCACTGTAATCTTTTCACTTTCGCCCATCTAAATAACTGGATTTTGTCTTCAAAATTTCACAACTTTCTGTTGCATGGACGACAATGATCTTTCGCAGAATAATCACAGCTGTAAAGTTAGTTTTCTCTCGTTTCACGATGATCCATTCAGCGAATAATCATTCATTGCACGCGTAAATTTTTCCAAAACATCGACATGATTATACGAGATCCATCAATAATTAATCAGATGAAAGAACAGAAGAAACGTTTGTTTAATGCGATTTTAATTGAAAATAAACTGACGCCAATTATAATTCTTTCTTCTCTCAAAGAAGAGAAGAAACCGTGGCGACTGCTTGGGCCGCATCTAATTATAACGAAAATATACACAAGACAGGATTTCAGCCTCGTAAACACCATTTGCATCGCGAAGTAAAAAAAGAGCTCGAAATTAATATCATATTACCGTTCCAATTATTAAATTAAATTCAAACGTCGCTTTCAAATCATATAATTCTTCCTTTTGAGAGAACGAACTCTAAATCGAACTTAAATAACCCCAAATAAAATATCCGAGAAACCGAGACTCGGTCGATTTTCCCGATTATCCCTCCTTTTAAAAATTCTCTCTTCCTCGAACTCGATTCTTCTACGCGAACACAACGAAATAAACTCGATTACGAGCCACTTCGATCGACGAAGAAATCGCGAACGCGATTATTCTCCGCGCGTGAAAGTTCCTTAATTTGAAACCGCCGAGAATTCTGATAACCATAATCGTGCAACGAAATAGCCTCGATTACACGACACGATTATACCCTCCTTCGTAAACTCGTCGAGATTATTATTATTCGAGTGAAATTGAACGAAAGTGTTGGCGGATGCGGAATGCGTGTCGCGGAACGGAAAGGAAGGAAGAGCAACGTTGCCGGCGGCTTAACCGAATAAAGTGGCGGCAGGCGTAGTGGTAAAAGCGGTTGCGTGTGCCCGTTCCAGATTATCGCGCCGTGACTTTTCTCAACGGACGCGACTTTCCCCGATCGAACGAATCGATGCGAATTTTCTCGTCGATTCTTGTTCACATCCTCCTCGGTCGAAATTCCTATTTGAAATTTAACAGGAAAAAGAGGAGGGATCGATACGAATTCTTTTTTTTTCAACCACTTCAAGTATTTTCCTTGCCACGCCAGTTGTTATCGAGTCGAATTTAAACTAAGAAAATACAAACTAAATTATTAATTTCTCTGGGGTAAGAAGAATCGAAAAAAAGTCTTCTCCCATCGACCAACCGAATCAACCCCGTTGAGTTACAATATCCAATTACAACCCCCTTGAATAACAAGTGTACGATTAACATTAAACTCCATTTCACCGGCGCCCCTATCTAAATTTAATCTCGGCGTAGGGCTGCAATTTATCCAGGCCACGCATCACCCTAATTCTCCCCCGCTGATACCTTCAGAAAAACCTTCGTGCACAACACGTTCCTTTCCTTTCCTTTCCTCGTCCAACCCCCTCTTCCCATCCATCCACTAATCACTCGGCCCGGCCACGATAACGCTGAACGCGTAATTAACGCCGTGTAATCGGAGGAAGGGTTGGTTTCATTCATTCGTTCGTTCTTCCCGTGTTACGACACCCGATCGATCTCGATCGCGAGTGTCGCGCGTACGCACCTCCCTCTCTCCTCTATGATAATCAACCGTCGATATTGACCTGCATTCAGAGAGAGAGAGAGAGAGAGAAACTTCTCTCGAGTTTTCTATACGATTCTACGAGCCGACGGTTGAAAAGTTGCAACCGATTAAGGAAGATTCGAATTGGAGCTCGAATCGGAGTGGAGAGTACATGAAAAATTGAAATTCTGAAGTTATCTCGTATTATACAGGGTTAGATCTAGATCGATAGTGGATCGGTATACTGGATCTGCGAGTAAAAAAATAAGAGAAGAATGGTAAGTTTTTATTGTCGCGCTTTATTACCTCGAAAAGAGGTTTACGTTTCCATTTCAAAGGGAAATTGAATTTATCACTCTTCGAATTTCTATCTTCTGCTATCGGCGCAGTGGAATGCGCTATTAATCCTTTCTATTGGTTCTTGCCGCTAATTGACGATTTGAACGATGCACAATCGATTTCCCCACTGTTCCCCACAGAGTTAGTCGGGCATTAACTCAAGTTGAATAAGCGGTTAAAAATTTCGAATAAAGTTATTTCAAGCGATTAAAATGTTATCGAATAACATTTACTCGTAGATATTATCCAGTTGATCCAATTTTTCATCCGTTTGTCGCGATTGTTTTTGAGTCTTGAACGATAAATTATCGAAGTAACGTTATTCGTAATTATTCAATCATTAAATTTTGCCCATCGATAATATTTTTCACATTTTTCACACTAGAACATACTGGTGAACAGTTTGATCGTTTAATCCGGAGACAATCCCTGTACATTACAATCATAACGATATACAATGTATTATATTCGTTCGACATTCCATTAATTGACTTGCTCGACTTGTCTGACAAACGACTGATCTATACTTGTTTGACATTAACGCAGCCTTACCATTTGTCCGGCCATAAAAGCCTCCTTTCTACCTTAGCCACCGAACGATTGATCCACAATATTTATCGGATAGATAAACTGACCCTGTCTGACAAACGACCGACTTATACTACTCATTTAACTACGACTATATCCCCGGCAATGGACAAAATTTAACAGTTGAAGTTAAGAATAAAGTTGCTTCGATAAATTACTTCAATGATCTATTGTTCAAAACGTAATAATAATCGGGAACAAGTTTTAATTACTTTAGGTAATATTTTTCGAAATTTTTAACCGGTTACTTTTCTCTGACCTTCTCTGACTAACTCACGACCAGTCGATCGACTTATTATTAATATTTTTCTTTCGCTCGTCACAACCATCTTATCCCATTTTCCATATAATTTTTTCCCATATCTCACTCGTCCAACCAGGATTATCAACCATATGGCAATGTCTAATCGTGTCCAGGTGCGGATAGAGCGCATTAAGGGGCGAAACGAGAGAATAATGCCGGCCGTACGCAAGTGGATATACGCGTAAAGGGCTCGTTCGAAATTGCTGTAAAAACGATATGATTACAAGAGGAGAAGCGTAATTGCATTACGACATATTATACGCACGAAATAATGGGGGTGCACGCATCTCGTATACAGGGTGTGCAAGATTACGAAGTTGCTAAAAAATGTAATTCAATAGATTCTGCAATCAATCCTTTCCACGATTTTTATCATTGAATACACAATGTGATTCAAAAGCGCTTAGTTTAAACCCTAGATTAAACTCAAGATATATATACTCGATCTACGACAAGGAGATGCAAATTTTTCAATATTCGAATAACGAAGAAATTTTACTAACCTCTGTCTGAATATTGATCCGTTTATTCAACGAAGAAATATCGATAATTTTACTTTCGAAAGGATCCTAATGACCGCTACAAGCCCTCTTCTTTTTTTTTTTTCAAACACTCTGTACTTTCGCATGTGTACGTAGAGGGTGAATTAAAACGAAGAGAGGGAAAAGTGTATAGCCGCGCCGGAGTTATGGCCAATAAACTACGCACGCACGAGTATTCCAACCGGTCGGATGGAAAAAGGAAGGAGAAGCCTCCCCTCTTGCTCGAGGACAAGCAAGGCTCTCCCCTCCCGATAAATGAATATTTAATCCATCTTCTCGCGTGGATGTAACCAATTTGAAGGTTGGCCCCCTCTCTCAAACGCCGGTAAATCTCGCGAGTTCTCACCCTCTCCAAGGGTTGGACGCAACCTCGACACCCACGGTGTCGTCGTCGATCAACCTTCTCTCCCCTCTCGCCTTCTCCTTCCCCGTCCACCTATCCCTGCGGATTCATTCGGTATTCCATTCGTGGCACGCTCCCGCGTGAAATTCGCCTCTCCATTGTTCTTTTCGATCATATTCACGGGGACCAGCATTGTCCTTAACTCGATATTAATTATCGCGTCGTTAACCGGGGATATTGTCCAAGTTAACCTGCTTCGTTTCTGAATAAATAAAGTTGCGGGTCGGGAACAATGGAGGGTAGATAATACGTTTTTCTCTTTTTTCTCTTTTTTCCTTTTTCTTTTTTTTTTTTTTTTTTTTCTTTTTCTATGAGAGATATTGAGAGAAAGAGACTGTTCCCTTCGTTCCTTTTTTCCGCTTCTGGTGGAGATTTCGCTTCTGGAAAAATCTTTGCGGAACGGGCTCGGGGAAAAAGAGAAACCTCGACGAAAGAAAAGGGAAAAGTGGGAGGGAGAAAGGGTAAAAGCGTTTATCGGTGTTCGTGTATTAATTCGAATTATGTAGAGCCAGAGAGGGGAGAAAGAGAGAGAGAGAGAGAGAGTGGCGAGTAAAAACGAGGAGGACTGTTTTAGCAAATATTCGCAATCGTTAAATTTCCTGGAACAACTCGGTACGTGTTAATAGAAAGGGAGGCTTATCTTTTTCCAACCGGTTGTTAACGAGTCTCCTCGTATCTGACGCTTGAACGGGGCGATTCTGGGCACGGTTGATGACGAAAAAAGGCGAAATAAAATAATATCCCCCTTAATAATGGCTCGAGTGAAATGGCAACGGTCGGTCGGGAGACGAATTGAGCCTTGCCCTTTGCCACTCTCTCGCGTTCCAATCTTTGTCCTCGGGAGCCGACAAATTTTGTTCCTTCGGAACAATACGAGCAATACAATCCGTGGATTTTCAGTTCATCGTTCAAAAATCGATCTCTATCAATAATTTTATCGATTCTTCCTCGTGAAGCTTAATTTGAAAAGATACCTCGTCTTATTCGTATTTTTTTAGAGAAATAATTCTCTATTGGAATGAAAGAGTGGTAAAATGGCCACTCTCTCTCTGATTATTTTGCAAGATCACGGATGTCGCGATAATTGGAAAGTTTCTCCGGATCCTTTTCGGCGAAGAAAAGGAGAAGGTGAACGCGATATCGCGTAATTATTGCTCGGTTTTGAGGAGGATGGAAACTGCACGGATTCTTCCTTTCAAAGCTTGCAGAGGTAATCTTGAAACAGGAGGTTTGTCTAATAACTCCGCGCGTCAAAAGGATAGCTTGCGCTTCATTAAGCCTCTCGAAAACTTGCCGGCTGATTAAGACGGATGCCGCCCTCGCCATGGATCATTTTCGGGGCTATTGGACAGCTAGCAACGCATTCATACGATCATGGATCATGGTGTAGATACAAGTTGATAGCTATGCTCTTGGTACGCAAGCTCACCAACGACCCAATTTCTTAATAGACTATCCATATCCAAAATGGTGGATGATAGAGCTTTCTCTTCATCTGGGATAACTACAACAGAAATTATAACGATAAAATTATTATGGATCTACACGATCATGGTAAAAATACAAGTTGATATTGCTTTACATTGTGCTCAAGACGACTCAATTTCTTAGTGGATTATCCACTAAAATGGTAGATGATAGACTTTCCCCTTCGTGGGATAACTACAACAGAAATTATAACAATAAAATTACCGTGAGTCTATGAACGATTCAATTTTTTTAATGGATTATCCAAAATGGTAGATGATAGACTTTTCTCTTCCTGGGATAACACGAATTATAACAATAAAATTACTGGACGGATTTAGAATAGATGTTATATTGTATTAGTGTAATATGATTCATAAAAGGTAATTGATTCATATCACCGTGCGAGCCGTAATTCCTTGGCCACGTATGAAAAATTAAAAGATTAATACGAATATCCTTTTTACAAGCTTATGAATTTTCTATTGCGCACACAACACAGAGCATAGCCCGGTTACAACCTTTTGAATTCTGTTTCATAGAATTTTAACGGGGAGAGAAGGAGTATTTTAGAAACGGGGAGAAAGCCGTCCCTTTCACGAGATTGTCCGGATAGCGAAAAATCTGAATAGATCCTTTCGCTCCGGGTAATTCCTTCGAATACATGCCCTGATCTTAAAGCAAAGAAGAGAGTGGAGAGATCGTTTTTTATCAATTTCGATTCTCTTCAACCCGATGCGAAATTAGCGAGTCCTTTTAAAAGGTAATGAAAATTCCTCGATCGTCGCAATTCTTAAACCGTTACAACCCGTCTCTCCCCCGTAAGGGACGAGAGCTATTCGTCTTCCCAAGTTTTCCACGCCACCTTCCCCCTCCCACCAATCCTCCCGCCTTATTCCTTTTCCTCCCTTTTCGCTTTTCCGCTTTTCATTGTTCCAACACGCTGCTCTCTCTCTCTCTCTCTCTCTCTCTCGTGAAAATCCCCGCGCTGCCGAAGAAAGAAGAGCAACACGAAAGAAATTCGTAAAATTTTATCGAGCCAGTGGCATCGTGGATATATAAGATCTTTGGCGATCGTGAAACGACCAGAAGAGTCTTGATATTGCATGCATTTTGTATAGATCTCCGTGTAATATTTGCGCTCTTTGGCACGCGAACGATTTAACGAATCTTGCGATCTTTTCTTAATCTCGAATGTAATAACTCCTCTTCCCTTTCTTCTTTCTTCGAAATCAAATTTTTAACAAAGCTCGTACAGTTTGTTCTTCTTACTAATCATTTCAAATATATATATATATATATATATAAATTATATCAATTATATCATTTTATATCTACTTTTAATTCGTTCCAAAATTCTCTTGTTCGTTGAACAAATATTCAGAGACTGTTACCGGTGATTATAAAATTCGAACCAATAACAGAGAATAATTGATATTAAAGGGGACAGAAAGGAATGGGAGAAATCGTCGTATTTATTGTCGAAATCTAGGAAAACAAAGGAAAAGAAGAAAAAAGTAAAAAAAAGAAAAACCACCTTTCTTCCTTTTTGTCCACAGCGATATTTTCGATCCTCGTTGTACTCGCGTGCGCGCAATATCGATAGCCACCCCCTTTCAAGGCTGCGTAATTGATTCTCGCGTGGGAAAGAAGCGCGTCCCGTTGAACTTTCACCCCATGAAATTCAAATTTCCCGCGCGCTTAATTTTCGACAAGGAATAATCAAAAATTTTCAGAGGCAAACTGGCTCCTCTCCTCGTAATCCCGTGGCGCGAGAAATTCTCTCACCTTTCGGCAAAATATTTCTCTTCCTTTTCCTTCTTCTTTCCCCCTCCCCTTTCTTTTCCATTAAATTCGTTTCGTCAGTTATGAAAGATTCCCTCGCGTCTTCGGAGGATGTTGCCGCTCCAACATCAGAGCCCTTATCCCGGAGGGGAAATTCTCGAGGAACAACGCGTGCCCTCCGGGGCCAGTAGGGAAAGTTTCCACTAAGTACGGTTAAATAAATCAACGGCGCATTGCGTGCAAGCTTTAAAACGAGTTTTTAATTTAAACGTATCCCGGCGCAAATACGTAATTTCCATGATTTAGCGGCGTTCTTCTCCTTCCTTTTTTCCTTTTTCTCTTCTTCTTCTTCTTCTTCTTCCTCTTCTTCTTTCATTTTTCTTTTTTTTTTCTCCTCCTTTCTTCTCTTTTCGACTCTCAGGCGGTTGAATAAAATTGAAAACGAATCTTTGGAAGGGGAGAGGAGGGGGAGAGATGGAGATAGTTCCTGGATATTTAGGATAATGGGGGAACGGGTACGGCGTTACATTCATGGACGATTACTTAAAACTTTCGAACGATTATGGCCGCGATACGTTAACGCCGGCTACTACTTTCATCCCCTTATAGAATAGCACGAAGAAAAAGAGTCGTAAAGTCATTTCTACCATTAAATTTCCCGCGAAATTCCTCCCCCTACTTCCCCTCCCCTCCCCTCCCCGAGTTTCCCTCTTAATGTAACGCAGTCCAAATTTGTGCACGGCTCATTTCGTGATAGGCAGAATATTTTAAGAAATGTAATCCAATTGTTGTACTATTCCAGGCTGCTAAATTGAAAGAAAAATTGGTTCTCTCGTTTATCTCACTGTACGATTGAAGAAAATTGTAAAAAATTTCGAGAATTCTACATAAATCTATGAATTCGAATCTATACGATTTTTATATTCTTATTACGAAAAAGAGGAAATTTGTGAACCGTGAGATTTCGTCGTTGAAAATTCACAAACATCGCGGTTGAGAGATGGAGAGTTTCGAGAAACGAACACGTAGCTTTGATAAATCGTGATCGTAAGATGAAAAAAAGAAGAAGAAGAAGAAGTAGAGAGAAAAGAGAGAAAAAGAATCGTAAAGTCGTTTGTACCATTAAATTTACCGCTTCCCCCTTTTTTCCCACTTTCGCCCTTAACGTCTCAATGATTCATCCGATAGAAAATTTTACAGGTCGCGTTAAGAAACATCTTCTTCTAATCCAATAATACTATATTAAACGAATCGATGACAGGGAGAAAATTTTACGAAATTTAATTCTCTCTGATTATCCTTAACTTCCGTTCGAACATAATTCATCCCATGAAAAAATGATGCAAAATTTCAAAAACTATTCATTCTACGCATAAATTTTTATAAACTCAGAAGTATCTGAAAATCACCGTATTAATTTTGTCGTCACGAATCGAAAATTCACAAATATCTCGAGATGAACACGCGTATTCTTCGACGTATCGTAATCGTAAAAAAAAAAGTAAGGAGAAGAAGAAGAAGAAGAAGAAGAAGAAGAAAGGAAAATGGGGAAAAGGACGCGTGTCGGATCGGTGTAATTTGCAGTTACACGGAGATCGGACAATAGCTGTGCCCGATCCCCCTAACGCGAAATGTTAAGCAATTTCTCCGGCTGATTTCAATTTCAAATTAACGCGTTCCCCATGCAAATTAACGCGGATCGGTGCTGCGTCAATATTCATCGGCGGTCGTAAGCGGGTTACGGATTTTTCTCTACGCGACCCCTCTACATAACTCCCCCCCCTCCATCGTCTTTGCCCGCTGCTCGCTCGCACGCGATCGCCACCAGAGCCACCGCCAACTCTCCGAAATATCATATCGAGTCCTCTGCGTATTTCTGCGAGCCGACGATTTGCCGCGAATGGCTTAATTACCATCGAGATTGACTCGAGACAACTGTAATTAAGAGGGAGCTCGGGCTTTGAGGGGGACGGACAGATGGAGAGACCGATCGTGATCACTGGATGCGGCGGTGGAAGGGGCGGTTGAAGATGGAACCGGAGCAAAGGCGGATACCAGACAGGGAAGGAGGGAGAGAGAGAGAGAGAGAGAGAGAGAGATCGGTGACTTATTTGCATGTAATAGGTCGAGAGTCTGACTCGATAACGAGATCCAATCGGCGATCGTCTCCCCTCGAATGTGCCCCACGCCAACGACGCCTTTTATTTCGGTCACACTTATTTTCCACCCCCATTTGCCACGCTTCGTCACGCTTCTGAATATTCATACACATAGATCGAAATAGAATTAGCCGGCGAGTTATTACCCTTTGAATTAACGTTATCCACAGGGGAGATATATCCGCTCTTGCTTCGATCCCCTCTTCCAGATTAATCTGTTTATCATATCGTGTGTATATACATATATATATATATCACTATCGTAGAAACGGTTTGGTGGAATGGATGGAAGATGGACGAGAGTCTCTCTCTCTCTCTCTCTTTCTGAAAGATCGAGAATCGGTTCATTATGTGTGACCGAGTGTGCATTTAAACCGGCGCGCTTTTCATCCGCGGATGTCGAGATCTCGAGGGCCAAATCCGATTTAACCTTTTTTGCGCTTTTCAACGCCCCTTTCCTTTCTCTTCCTCGTACTCGGAACCGACTCGTTCCATCGTTTGAAACACGCGCTTACAAAAAAAAAAGAAAAAAGACGGGGGTTGTAAGTTAAAAAGCCGAAGAAGGTGGCCAGGGTGAAAGAGAAACGGGGGAGGGAGGGAGAATCTGCATGAAGT